TAGAATGCCAAAATGGGATGATAGAACTAAGTCTGAATAATCAGTCATTACACTAAACACATAAATGGACCAAACCATCAGTTCAAAGAAAGGGATTATAAAACTGAGTTTTAAGGTGTAGATACAAGCCTGCCAGGTGGCCACTGTGGCACCACGTTGGGAAAGGTACCAGAGGATGAAGCATCTCCGAACACTTGCACCCAGCGACCTGACTTCTCATCCACATAATCCAACAGGGTCCCTTTCTTCCTTAAGCTAGTGTGTGAGTTAAGAGATCTATCCCTTGCATTGGAAACAGTCCTTGATTACTGAGAGGCTATGAGAAAGGATCTCAGAAAATACAAAACAATATAACCACTATGTTTATGGAGTATAATTTTGTAAATTTAAGTAATATTTTGGCACAGATTTGTTTGGTTGGCATAGAAAACAGCCTTCAGATCATTTTCCTTAATCTAGTTTTGCTAGATAACTTACTGACATTTGTATTAGAGGCCAAAATAGATAATAAAGACAAAAACAAAATTTAAAAAGAAAAAAGAAAACACATCTATACAATAGAGAGGCTTAACAAAGCCAAATGAAAAAAAAAAAGACTAATAATCTCTGGCAAGACAGATCAAGAAAAATGAGAGAGCATACATAAATATTATTGAGACCAAAAGGACATAGTTATAGATTTAGCTGAGATAAAAAAAAGTTGAGAATACTATGAATCACTTCAAGTCAATAAATTTGAAAACTTAAATGAAATGGAAAAACTTGCAGAAACACATGGTATCAAAATTGGGAAAAAAAAAAGGATTAGGAAGCCTGAATAGTTGAATAAAAAAGATACTGAGGTCCTAAGATAGAGAAGCCACATTTGGAAAGGAGCCCTGGTGTCTGCATCATTTCAGGGTTAAGTCCCCCGCTAACCAGAATAACCACATAAGACTACAAAGGAACACAGTCTATTGATGTAAGTTAAGTAAAATGGCAGGGTTATAAGAGTAGCTAGTGTTACCCTAACTAATTTACTACAGATTTTTTAAAGACTCCCTTATTTTTGACTTCTAATTTAATGTGGCCAGAGAACCTGGCCTATCAGATTCCAATTCTTTAAAATTTACTGAGATTTGGTTTATGAACCAATACATGATCAATTTTTGTAAATGTCCCATATGTGCTTGGGAAGGAAGTGTATTTTTCTCTAAGTACAGGATATAGGGTGTTCTATATGTCCAATAAATCATACTTGTTATCTCATGGTGTTTAAATTTTCTCTTTTCTAATTTTTTTTTTTTTGTCTGCTTGCTCTGTTACTAATTGAGAACTGAGTTGAAATCTCCCACTATGGAAGTGCATTAGTCAATGTCTCCCTAAGATTCTACTAATTTTGCTTATATACTTTGAAGTCATTTTCCTAGGTACNTTTTATATGCACCTGGAAACCAAAAAATTCACTGACTCGCTTTACTGCGATTCTCGCTTTATTATGACGGTCTGACACTGAACCCGAGTTTCACTGTCATCCTCCATCTTTATGGGGCCTTCTCCTGTGTTTCTTCACATCCTCTTCCCTTTATGCATTCTGCCTGTCTCTGTGCCCAAATGTCCCCTTTTTATAAGGACACTAGTCATATTGATAGGGTCCACCCCTATGGTCTCATTTTAACTCAATTACCACTATAAAGACCCTATTTTCAAATCAAGTCACATGAGGTGCTGGAGATTAGGATTTCAACATACCTTTTTTTTGGGGGGGGACACAGTTCACCCATCACAGAACCTTCGACAAGACTAAAAATGAACTGAGAGACTAATGTTCTAGAAAACATTCTGCTTCCAATAGATTGAACAGAATCTATTGCAGACAATAGACCCTTTGGCCTTTAGTTTCTTTTCTTTCTTTCCCTCTAAAGAAAATTCAGGCTACAAAGGAACAAGACAAACAAATAAAGGAATAAAAACTCATAGATACAGATAATAGTTTAGTGGTTACCAGTGGGTAAGGGGCGGTGGCGGTAGATGAGGGTAAATGGGGTCAAATACATGGTGATGGAAGGAGAACGGACTCTGGGTGGTGAACACACATTGTGATATATAGACGATGTATTATAGAATTGTAAACGTGAAACCTATGTAATTTTATGAACCATTGTCACCCCAATAAATTTTAATAAAATTTATAAAAAGAAAGAAACAAAGGCTGAACGATATGAATTTGCCATTTCTGAAAGTCAGAGTATGGACAATTTCCTGTGGCTCAACCTAATAACTTAGAGATAGCCTTGTGGTACCCTACCCAGTCATCCTTCCAGCCAAAACATTTCTGTTGTTTGAAGCCACCCCGTGTGTGGTGCTTTGTTATGGCAGCCTGAATGCTATGG